TATGTCATACAGTTTGAAAACCACGGGCCTAAGCCTTCATCAAAATTTAAAACTTTTGTGATTGAAAGGATACCATCAGGAAAAACATTCCATAGAATGGGAGAAAATATTAACAAATCATGTATCTGATAATGGCTTATTACCAGAATATATATGGAACTCTTCTCACAACTTAGCAATAAAAAGACAACTTAAAAACAGGTGAAGGATCTGAATAGACATTTCTCTAAAGAATATATACAAATGGCAAATAACATTAAAAGATGCTCAGCATCATTATCTATTACGGAAATTCAAATTAAAATCATGAGACTATCACTTTACACCCACCAGGATGGCAGTAATTAGAAAGATGGACAGTTAAAAGTATTGGTGAGGGTGTGGAGAAATTGAAACTTTTATACATTGCTGGAAAGAATGTAAAATCCCTTTGGTAATTGGTTTGAGAGTTCCTCAAAAAGTTCAAGATAGAGTTATTATGTAACCCAGCAGTTCTCTGCTAGGTATATACCTAAGAGAATTGAATATACTGTATGCCAGCACAAAAACTTGTGCATGAATGTTCATAGCAGCATTATTCCTAATAGCCAAAAAGTAGAAACTCAGATGTTCATCAACTGATGAATAGATGAACAAAATGTGGTATGGCTATACAATAAAATAATATTCAGTCATAAAAAAGAATAAAGGACTGATATGTGCTACCATACAGGTGAACCTTGAAAACAGTGAAAGAAGCCAGACACAAAAGACCACATAATGTATGATTCCATTTTTATGAAATGTCCAGAATATACCAGTTCATAGAAAGCAGACTGATGGATTAGAGGGGCAATGGGGAGTGACTGCTGATGTGTGTGAGGTTTCTCTTGGGGGTGATGGAAATGTTCTGGAGTTAGATAGTGGTGATGGTTGCACAACTCGGTGAATACACTAAAAATGACTGACTTGTCTACCTTAAATGCATGAGCTTTATGGTATGTGAATTATATCTCAATGTAGCTGTTATTTAAAAAAAACAAATTGGAATAAAAAGTAATAGTAATGAACCTTTTCTCATTTTGGGCATGTAGCTTCGAGCAAATGCTCTCATCAAGAGAGGCAGCATGTACATGCAACAGCAGCAGCCTTTGCTGTCCACGCAGGACTTTAACATGGCTGCTGATATCGACCCTCAGAATGCAGACGTGTATCACCACCGAGGACAGGTGAGCTGAACCTGTTTTCTTACCAAGCTCTGACCTTTGGGATGAGAAGTGTGATACCATGTTTGAGTCCTACAGTTTTTTTATATCACTTCCGATAGCTGTGAACAAAGTATCACAGTGGTTTACAGTTTGGTTTGGCATTTATTTATTCCCATCTTGAACATTTGTCCTTATTTTGGTATTTACTTATAAAAAAGAGAAAAGGAGGGCTACAAATGTAGGCTTGCCAGTTCAGGTTTATTTTTCAAGTGTTTCTGGTTCATAGGCTTTCAATGAGTAAAACATTAAAAACATTTAATGAGCATTTTGAGTTAATGTTAGAATCAACAGAATGATTTTTTTGTTTTTTGCAGGCTTCTTGCAAAAAAAAAAATCTCTTCTGAATGGAGTTATGATCTGCATATTTGTTTTTTAGTAAAAAAGTACATAGTGAAGAAAACAATTCCTAATTTTAGCCTCATCTGGGGAAAAAACACAGCTTTATAATCTACTTGTTTAATATGACTTGGAATGCATTATGGTAGAACATATGGGCTACCATGTAATAATAGAAAAGCTGAAGTGCTTTCTAGTAGAGAATCTTACCTACTATTTCTGTCTGTGGAGGGTGTTAAGTGTTGAGATAATCTCTTAAAATTCTTGGCATTTTGATCCTTACTGGTAGTATCTTAAAATTAACTTGAAAGCTAGCTAGTTATCTGATGTCTGATCTGCTTTGAAATTTGAAAGTATAGAAATGTCTAGTTTTCTAGGAGAAAGGGTTTCTTGTTTAAAGAGTGATCAAAATTGCGGGGCCAAAGTGGTGGGTTTACAGTGCTTTTTAAAACATTGGACACCAGTTTTAAGTTTTACAATTTTTGTTTTAAAATTACAAGATTTTCTAGTTCACTGTTTCCAGAAAGTAATTCTCTTTTGCATGAGTACATGCTTAGCATTGTGCGGAGCTGTGATGAGAGACAGCGTACCTAACGGCTGCACTATTTTGAATTGCGTTTATGTATTTCTTCCTCAGCTGAAAATACTGCTGGATCAAGTTGAAGAAGCAGTGGCAGATTTTGATGAATGTATTAGGTTAAGACCTGAGTCTGCTCTGGCACAAGCGCAGAAATGTTTTGCATTGGTAGGTTGTACTTTCTTTTTTATTTTCCTAAACATCATTTTTATTTCCCCATTGTTAAGAAAAATGCATATCTCATTGTCTATACAAAGTCATCTATTTTTTCCCCCAAAGGATGCCTGTAGGGGGAACGTGTTAGTTTAGGGAATAAGAAGTGTGTTCGGATGCTCACTGAGGTACTTGGTCCTGTGTTTCTCCAGATGTATTATGAATTCACCATGATAGGTGTTTGTCTCTGATTTTTGTGCTCGCCTGACCAGTACTGTTCTGCTTCTCCCCCAAAAACTAGTACAAAGAACACAAGCAGTTTGAGGAGGTTAATGCAGTCATAATACCAAATAACTGCTCTCTCATCTTGCCTTTTTAGAACTATTACTATTTAGAAACACAAAGCTGAAAATCAGGCAATATAAGTCCATTGATAGTGAAATGAGGTACTTCCAGTTAGCTCCATAACTTCAGTCCTAAAAGAATTTAGAAATTGGGCCACAAACACATTTACAGTCACACACCCTTAACAACGGTGATCTGTTCTGAGAAATGTGTTAGGTGATTTCGTCATTGTGTGAACATCACAGAGTGCACTTACCCACACCTAAATGGTACAGTCTACTATACACCTTGGCTGTGTGATACAGCCTGTTGCTCCTGGGCTACAGGCCTGTACAGCATGTGACTGTACAAACCAACATGTGAGTAAATCAAGTGCAGGAGAAGATGATGCAACCAAGAGACGCGGTAAGCATGAGCTGTCTGAGGCTGCTGCAGCCTAACACGGCATACCTTTTTGCAGCAGACTTGATATAAGTAGAAAGAGTCCACTCTAATGATAAAATGTATAGTATAGTAAATACAGAAACCGGTAACAGGAGTTTATTATCAGTATCAAATATGACACACTGTACATAATTGTATGTGCTATATACTTTTATACAACTGGCAGTGCAGTAGATATGTTTACACCCGCATCACCACAAACGTGGGTAACGCAGTGTGTCATGATGCTAACGACAGCTGCCCCTGGGCAATAGGAATATGTCAGCTTCATTAAAATCTCATGGGACCACCNAAAAAAATTATTGATGGGCAAATGGTAGATTTGGGATAACAACTGTAATGAAAATGCAGAGTGTTTCTAATGTCTGTTCTACACTGTTGACAGCCTAACAGAAAAAATAGCAACATGAATGATTGTTTTTCAGAATAAGAAAGCCAAATGGCCAATAAACATGAAAAGATTTTCAAGTTCATTAATAATAAGAAAACGGCAAATTAGAATAGTGGAATATTACTTTATACCAGAGTTTTTTAGCCTTGGCACTACTGACATTTTGAATCTGATAATTCCTTGTTGTGGGGGACTGTCTTGTGCATTGTAGAATGTTAGCAGCATCCCTGGTGTCTGTCTGCTGCCAGTAGCTCCTTCTACCATCCCAGTTATGACAATCAAAATGTCTCTAGACATTGTCAAATGTGCCCTGGAAAGTAGAATCACCCCTGATTGGGAGCCACTGTTTTATACCCATCAGACTGGTGAAAATCAAACTAGCTATCACACCTGTTGCTGGCAGGAATGGTGGGAAAGTTGTACATTAAAGCACTACAGCCTTTGTTTTGGAAAAGTCTGAGAGTCTTTTAAATTAAAAATATATAAACCTTTTGGCTTAGCAGTCCTACTGCTGAGACTTTTATATGAAGATATTTATATGAAGCGACTTGCACTGTAGACAGCCATTCTTCCCTCCCATTTTTCTTTTGCCAGTTTATCATTTAATCACTGTGATCTGAATCTATTTCTGAGTAGTGATAATTATTTAATAATTGTTTCCTCTCATTTCAGAACTCTCTTGATAGAGCCCAAGCAGCCAAGAACAAAGGCAACAAATATTTTAAAGCAGGAAAATATGAACAAGCTATTCAGTGCTATACTGAGGCTATCAGTTTGTGCCCTATGGAGAAGAATGTTGACCTTTCCACGTTTTATCAAAACAGAGCTGCTGCCTTTGAACAGTTGGTAGGTATCCTGAGTTGTTTTTTTCTGTTTTTTTTCTCTTTATTTGTATTCTCTGCATTTATTCGTTCAACCAAATTTTATTGACTGTTTCATATATGGAAGGTCACTGTGGTAGGAGCTGGGTGCATAGAACTTGAGGAAGGATCCTGGAGTATAAAGAGATAAAATTGGAGAGGTAGCAGAGGCCAGATCAGGCAAAGCCTTGCAATGGTAAGGAGTTTGGATTTGATTCTGCATGTAATGGGAAATATTTAAGAGTTTCAAGTAGGGCAGGGACATCATCTAAAATTGTCCTCACTGTTCTGTCAAGACTATATTGGAGGGATGCAAGAGTGGAGGCAGGGAGATTGATTAAGGATCTTCTCGTAGTAGCCTAGGTGAGACGTGAAGGAAAGCTGAAGACCAACAGCACTGGATGTAAAAAGTGAAGAGAAGCAGGAATTTTAATAATAGTGGGGTGGGAGAGGAGTGAGACAGCTAAGTAGACAGACTTGAGGAAAGTCTATTTGAGGAGAGTAGTTTGGGCTAAAGATACATTTGGGACTCATCTAATTTTAGGTGTTATGTGATACCAGGGCAATAGATGTGATCACCTAGGGAGAGAGAAGAGATGAGGCCTTGAGGGTTCCAGCATGTAGAGACCAGGGAGAGGGGAGAATTAAGCGAAGAAAATGGAGAAGGAGCAGCCAGTGAGGGAGGTGGAAATTGAGTGGCAGTTCTTTAGAGGTTTGGCAATAATGAGGAACTGAGAAATGGGGTAACAGGTGCAGGGAAATAGGGAATAAAAGGAGGGTTTTTAAAAGATGGATAATACTAGAACAGATTTTTTATGCTCATGGGAATGCTTTAGTAGAGAAGCAGATTAATGGAGAGGCAGGATGGCTAACAGAGTGAAGTCCTTGAAGTGGGGAGTGTAGTCCGTATCACAAGTGGACGGTTGGCCTTGGATGCAGAGGACTGCTTCCTTAGTTATAACAGGAAGGAAGGAGGAGATGACATGGGCACATAGATGCAGGTAGGTTTGTAGATTCGGTGGTAGAAAGATGGCCTAAGTATGTCCTTTGCTTATTTTATAAAATCAGGTTGTTTATCTTTATTAGATATTTATCTGAGCTGTTGTAATGTATTGTGGATATTAACTCTTGTATGTGTTGGGAAAATTTTTTTTTCTATTGTGGGACTCTTACCACTCAGCCTGTTAAGTTTGGAAAACTGATTTCTGTTGAACAGTGCTTCCTTTAATGTGACTTTTTTTTTAATACTTTGAATTGCAGCAAAAATGGAAAGAGGTGGCACAAGATTGTACAAAGGCTGTTGAACTTAATCCCAAATATGTGAAAGCTCTCTTTAGACGTGCAAAAGCCCATGAGAAGCTAGACAATAAGAAGGAATGCTTAGAAGGTGAGGGGGTTTTTGTGTTTCCATATGAAAATTACTAAAGGCTTTGGAGTCATTGGTAAATTTGTATGAAACTCTGTCTGTGATTGGAGAAATCATTTGTATTTAAAAGTTCAAATCTTCTCCAATTCAGACTTTGTTTCCTGATTTAAATTGAAATTGCTGTTATTTGAGTATCGTCTCTGTTCTCAGCTATGGAATTAAATAAATATTAAGATTTGGAGTTGGGCCTGCCAAGTGGCGCGTTAGTTAGGAGTTGGCTTGGGACACCAACTCTGAGCAGCAGGGCCCCGGTACGGATCCCACATGAGGGCCAGTGACACTGCCCTCTACAGCTAAGATGGTGAACAACAGCTCNCAGTGGAAGAAAATGTGCAATTTGGTGGTTTGCCAATGTAATTTGATTCTTTTCCACTCACTGTCATTCAGAGCATCAATTTTCTACAGTACAGTGAGGAAAGAAAATTAAACAGGATCTGATTTCGGTCTGAGGAATTAAAGAATTTGTAATAACTTTTAAAAGGAAGTTATTGTAAAACTTGACTAAATGGAGGGATTGAAAGATTCAGTTGGTTGGTTTTAGGTTGATTTAGACTTTGTTGAATAAAAGTAAGGTATCCATATTTCTGAGGAGTAGAAGCCTTGTGTACCTATCTAGATTTCTCTCTATTCTTTTAACTTGTTGGCTCCCGCTATGACAGCCTCTCCTTGTGTTCAGCATGATACCATTTAGCCCTAAACTTCTAGTAGGCAGGAAAGAGTTCATTGCTAGTTTGTGCTGATGAAATAAGGTCATTACTCTGCCCACAGAATGTTTTTGTTTAGTCTGCACATCTTTAGTAAAAGTACTAAAGATATCTTCAGAATGTTTATAGTCAAACATATGTCTCATATGCATTTAATATGCCACATTATTTAATCTATTCAGTCCCTAGTGTTTGAGGAGGTATAACCGCCATGTTCTAATGACTTAAACATTGTAAACTTTTTGCAAGAAATTGAAATAATGTTTTTCTTTTTGTTATAAATAATGTCAAAAGTAATAGGGTTTCATTATTTTGAAGTTTTATTAGTCACCATAGGGTTCATGTTTATGATGTGTTCTTGGCAGGTTGTACCTTTTAACAGTAAAACTGTCCTTCCTTCTGCACTCCATCTAAGACTTTTGAATAAATTATTTTATCTGAGACTGCCTTCATTTTGTTAGTATTTGCCTTCTGTAAGTACTTTACATTGTTTTTTGACCTGTCATTTTGTTTTAGGTCATGCCTTCTAGGCAGCATGTAGGTAGTTATTTTTTTATTTTTATTTTTTTTTTAGGATTTTATTGGGGAATTGGGGGAGGGGAAGTTAGTTATTTTTTATTTTGAATAGTTTGAAAAGTTTTTGGTGATTGAACCTATTTATAGTTATTGTTATTAGTGACATATCTACTGATTCCTGCCGTGAGTACCCTGCTTTTTGTTCTTGACCCTCCTTTCCCTGCTTTATATTGATTACCTGCCCCACTTTGGAGGTTTATTTTTAGTGTTAAGGAAGTTGTAGACTTCTATTTCTGTTCTTGTGTTCAATCTTAAATGTTAGTTTGGTTAGGTATAAGATTTTAAGTTCAAGGTGTTCTTTCTTCAGAAGTTTGAAGTTGTTAATTCATTGTTTTTAGTACCTATTGTTGATGACAGTCTGACACAAGTTTGGTTCTTTATCCTTTGTAGGTAACCTTTATTTTCTACCAAAAATTTTCAGGAATTTTTTGGTGAAAATTTCACCGTGGTGTGTCTAAAAATGTGTGTCATTTTTCTCCAACTCCAGGAATTTTTCTGCTTCCTTAGATACTCCTTTCTATGCCTTTCATTCTAAACTTCAGCTAGATAAATGTTGGGACTTCTGGATTTATACTATGTACACGTCATCTAACTTTCCCTCCAAACTTCTCACCTCCCTATCCTGTTTCTGTAGCGTTTTGGTAGACTTCCTTGGCTCCACCTTCTACTTGTTAATTTGTTCCTCAGTTATGCCCCCATTCTAACATACAACCCAGCCATTGAGTTAACTGTCATAATTCTTTTTAATTTTCAAGATGCCTACTTGGTGCCCTTTAAAAGCAACCCCGCCCTCCCCTCCCCCAATGACTGTGATAGCTTCATTCCTCTGATGTTAAATTTTCTGTTTGCTTGGGTTATTCTGCTTTCTTAAATACTAGTTTTCTATTTGAGTTCAGTGCCTTTCTTTTGTGTTAGCAATTCGTGACAGTGTGGTCTCTGGGAAGACAGGCAAGGTGTGCCTGTCACTTGTCTCTGGATGTAGGGGATCCTTACTCCTTCCGGATGACACAGCCTTACTCCAGTCTGAATTCTGCTTTTCTCAGTGGAGTGGGAGGACTGTGGAGGTTGCTTCAAATGCAGTCTTTCAGCAATTACCTTGACAGTTGCTCCCCCAGAATCCACAGCTACAGAAGAGATTTCTAGTTGTCTTCTAATTATGGATGTTTTGTGCCAAGGATTTTTACTAAGTTTATGGAACATGATTAAAGCTATTGACAAATGGAAGGTTTTATATTCATCTATTAATTTATTGGTGCTTTATTTGGTCTCTTTCATCCTCCTACATCCTAGTTTTAAAGTGTGCACGTTTCTTGTTGACACTGACTAGCTTAAACTAGCTGGTTAATATTCTGCACATAGATAGTTTCCTTCTTTGTACACTATATACTTTTAAGAAATAGCTATAGCTGTAGTCAGGAAAGGGAAAGAAAAGGTTAATGGAGGGGAAAAGCAGCAAAGAAAAGNGCCGGCCCTTAGCTTCATCATTTTTAAAGTGGGGCTAATACCTTTGAGGGTTATTGTGAGGTTTAAGGGTTACATTTATAAGCATCTAGCAGTTAGGTTCTTAATGAGTAGGGACAATTACTACTTCCATTATGACTTAATAATTATGTTTTCTTAGCCTGGTGACCTGAGGAACAAAACTAGAGTGTAGGGAATATTAGAATGTAATTGTTGGGAAGGTTAGCTCGGAGTTCATAAGATTTTGACCAACAACTTATAAGTCACTTAACCAGTTTTCTCTATTCATAACATGTAACAAATGAAATGAGAAAATATACTTTAATTATAGTACCTTATATTTATTTATTTGTACCTTAAAGCTAATCTTGTGTAAATTCCTTTTCAGTTAAAAAAAAAAATTCCTTCTACAAGCGTCCTTGATAACAGTCATCATCTTAGGAGAATAATGATATTGTGGTCACTGCATTTTAAGAAGGAGAGATGGGTGTTTTTTTAAAGTCCTTTTTGATATGGAAGACTCTTCCTTTAAATTTGCTGCTTTGATATTTCCACCTATTCCTTCTAGGTCTGTTCTTTTAGGTGAAACAACAGCTTCTGGGTGAGATCCCTTCAGATATTCCTCCCTCCAGCCTGCTCTTTTGCAGTTCATTTCGCACAACACAGCCAGAGTGGTCTTTACAAAGCACAGCGTGGGTCACACCCCTTCCCTTGGCTCTGTGGCCCTGAACTCACTTGATTGTTTCCTATTTCTCTGTTCTGTCAGTCATGAAATAACTGATGAGTGCCATCAATGTGTCACAGATATGAAGGTGAATTAGACTTGGCCTTGTTGCAGATCAGTCTGTCATTAGCTCTTTTCATATAACTAAATGTCTAAGTCTGGGCGTAGCCCTAGGTTTCTGCCATTGACTGCTGTTTCCTTTTCCAAAACTCTCCAAGGCATCAAGAAAATCCCAGTCTGAAGCAAAAATCCTGTGTTACCTCTCGCCCCATTACAGTCCCTTGTTGGCTGACTAACTTGTTACGGGGAAATGGACACTTGCTTAACTCGAGTATAGTAATGTGGCGAGTTTTAGCATTTGCTCTTCTCTTAGTAAATAATGTCCTGTGTTCATTTTTATTTTCAGTTCAGGATATTTAAAGGCCAAACAGTATATGGAAGAAGAAAACTATGATAAAATCATAAGTGAATGCTCAAAAGAGATAGACGCTCAAGGCAAGTACATGGCAGAAGCGCTATTGCTACGAGCCACCTTCTACTTGCTTATTGGCAATGCCAGCGCAGCCAAGCCGGATCTGGACAAGGTCATCAGCCTGCAAGAGGCCAGTGTGAAGGTATGCGGAAATACGCGTGTGTGTGGGAAAACTAGCAAATGAAAA